TCCGCCGACGTTGGCCAATTGCCAGTGGTTGAACAGGGAAAGCCAATTGGCGTTGTTGCTTGGAAGCTCAAGCCGTGTCGGGCCAGACTGGGAAACCGAAGGTTAAACCACCATACGACGTCGTATTGTTAAACCGGACGTGATTCATTCACTCGTCTTTTTATTTATTTATTATTTTCTTTTGTTTTTGATATGCTCGTGTGTGGTGGGTAACGTTTAGATTGGCAGTGAATATTTATGGCCACCATGACACTTTCTTGAGTTCTTTGAGAACGCTTTTCAGAATCAAGGAATTACTCATTAAATTATTTCCCTTTTATAATCATGAACTATGCATAAATACATTATAATTTGAATAAAATATTGACACAGCAGACAATATCAGAAAGATTTAGTTTACTTATTCCTTTTTTATTAGAAGCCAGCCAAGGCTCAAAACTCCCTTAATTCCCACTCTTACTCACTTGTATTTGTTAAGTAACTGTGACACCCCACGTCAGTTGAGGAGATGAACGAAGCGTGTATTAAGAGATGTGTGAATACTTTCTTTTACAAGACGCATTTTTCCCTCTGTTAAGGGGAGAGAAACAAAATTGTGAGGTTATGAGACGGGCGACTGTGAGGGGTAGTAATGCAGTTTTGCAAAGTGGACAATATCTTATAAACGGGTGACCTAGGCTGTTATAGATGATATCAGAGATAAGGTCCGGGCAAGTGTGCCAGCGAGGACGTTGAGCCCCAAGAGGGGTGGATTGTGAGATCCTACATTGGTTGGGGAGGTGAACGAAGCATGCCTTAAGAGGAGTGTGGATATCTTCCCTTGCAAAACGCGTTTTTCCCTCTGTTGAGGGGGGAGAAATAAAACTGTGAGATTGTGGAGCGGGCCTACCATGAGGCGTAGTGACATATCCCAGCAAAATGGATAATATCTTGCAAACGGATGGTCTGAACTGTTGCAGTAACTAACAAATATTCATTAATTTTTCTTTTTTACAAATTTCCAAGTTGATGCTATTTATTTTATATATTTATTTTTTGCTTTACTTGGTTATAATTTTGCACTTAATTCAATCAAAATTAACTGATTGTTAATTACATTTTCAAATAATAAAAAACTGTAGTTTTGAATGCCAAGTATGGTCTAACATTAGAGGAGATAGTTTTCCATACATGCGCTGGCATCGGAAATCAACTGTCCAACACATTTTCCTTTTGTACGTGTTCAATTAACAACCTTTTTTTTTGGGACCAATTTTCTCTTTTTTTCTGGACATAATATTATATAGTTTGTGATTAATGTTTGAAATATGTGGATTGGAATCTTATGCTGGAAAAATATGAAAAATGAAACTTGTTTATGTATATGGCTTATCACCTTCTAATTATAATATTTGTTTAACAATGAGTTATTACATATAACCTATTTATATATATTTATAATTAAGAAGGACTTGGCTCGACTTTGCTTGAAATTAAAAGGATTATTAATTTTTTTAATATTTTTAAATTAATAGTATAATATTTCAAATAATATAACCATTTATTTTCGCATCTAATTGTTCAAACAAAATCATCAATATACTACTAATTCAAATTATATAGATAACGCTTAGATGTCTTTATCCTAATACCAATCATATATACTTAAATCTCTCTATTCTAATACTAATCATTCATACACTTGTTATATTCTAGAAAATGTTTGTCTTTATTCTTCCATATCTAAGTAAATAATTCTTTAAAATAATATTTTTCACAACTCAAATCTTCTGGCATTAGTTATCTAACTCATAATTCATTTAAAACTTTAAAATTGGTGTTTACATAACCAACACAACAAGTGAACTGTTGAATCTCAACACCTACAATTATTTTTTATAGCACTCCTCACCGTATTTAATCAAGGGTTAATGCTAATGATCAAAGAGGAATGACATCGAACCTTAGCAAACGAACTACACCTGCAAATACGTATGTTGTCTGTTCAAAGATATAAACATGCAGCTGCAGGTTATCGTCAAACATTATAACCTAACTTTTTGAATTTGACATTAAGGTGCGGTTGTAGTGCTTTAAGTCCACAAGTGACGTAAAACCTTTGGACAATTGCATTGCATGACAGAACTAACTTCCTATAGCGGACAGACGTGGCTTCATTGCGAGTTAAAAGAAGCTATCATCGATTCCACTTGTACCTATTTGGGTGGTCCATATCTGTTTCGAACTTACAAGTATGCGATAAGACCTCCCTCTCATCTTTTACAAATTTAAGCGTTAATATTATAATGAATTATGTTATTCACGCCCTATTGGACTCTGTTTGATTTTTCCCCAAATTGCAAGGTAAAACATATAGTTGGGGAGTTTATTTGGTTATCTAAAATTAAACCTAATATTTTTAATATAATAAAAAAAATTTAATTATAATATATATTTTTACAAGAAGGATCAATTTAATCTAGTGTTATATTAGATTAAATTTATTATTGATTTAGTCAAAATCTAATAGATGTGATTGGTTATAGTTATATTTCAAATTTTTAATTAAAACTATATTCCAAAAATATAATTATAATTATTTCTTAAAATATTAATTATAATTATAATTAATTTCATCTATTAAATTATAACTAAATCAATGATTTTAAATTTGATATAACTGGTGTCAATTAATTCTTTTATATTTTTATATATACATTTCATTAATTATTAAACAATACAAAATAAAAATTATCAGCAATATACTCAATCTAATCTAACCCCACTCCTCACATTGGGATAGTTTGAAATATGTATCCAAACCCACCCCTAGCTTGCTCCATTATTATTCTGACCACATAATTTCCTGAATATTAGTGAAAGTCATCAATTTAATTCAGAAATTTGATGTATAGTTTCCAAGAATGAACAGCCCTAGCTATGCGTAACAATTTCAACCCTTGAGAAAGTATGAAAGACAGTAAACGTCCCGGCTAGACCTGAAAGTGTTTCGAGGGACCATGCCCTTTCGGCGTCACTGGGTCCAAGCGGGCCCAGCCACATCTCAAAACGTGCCGCCATATCCAGAGTAAACCCTTTAATTGCGAGTAGCCGACCACTGCACGGGCCTGTATGGTTTTCAACGTCGTAGCTCACCAACCTTCTGTACGCATGTCTTCACCTCCCAATTCTCCTTCCTTTCATCCGTCTCCCTCCCCATTATATATTTTTCTGTATACGCGAAACCTTTCTTCGCTTCTCTCTCAGAAAAAGCTCAAATGGTTTCTTCTTTTTCTTGGCTTTTCTTCTTCTTGCTTGTAGCTCAACTGCCATGCTATGTTACGAGCCGGGTCGATTTGGGTTCGAGATTGTTGGCGAGGGAAGACCAGGAGTGGGTTTCTGAGAATGGTACCTTTGCATTTGGGTTCACCCAGGCGGACTCCAACGACCGGTTTTACTTGGCAATTTGGTTCGCCAGCTTCCCGGAGACCGAACCATGGTTTGGTCGCTAACAGGTAAATTCAATGAACTTTAATGGCATACTCTAGATTTTATCGTGCGGGCATGATTGTGCAGTTGAATCTCAGACTAGGGAGAAGAAGTGATTGTGTAAGAATTTAGAAACTCATTACTAACAGAATGATGTTAAATATTTTGATGTCTACGTTGACTGTCATTGGAAAGTTTATGATCATGTCGGCTTCCTGGAAGAACACAATAAAGAAAGAAAGAAAGAAAGAAAAATCCTGGGGGTTGAGGATCTTCATTTATAATAAACAGTTTTGATATAACAGGAAAAATCACTTCCTTTAAAAAAAAATACAGTTGGTAAGTTTGACTTTTCTTATTAATTAACATATTCTTTTAATCTAGAAATTTTTTATGTATTTTTTGCAAAAAGTAAAAAAAAAAAAATCTGGAGATTAGTTTAAAGCCTTCTAGAATGGAATTTGAGTAGGTTTTGGCATATGTTTTGGGAAGTCACAGAAATCATTTATCCGTTAAGTCTTTACAAAAGCTACTGCAGTTAATATGACTTAATTACCCAACCATTCACTTTCTCTCCATCGTCTAATTAGAAACTCTCCATCGGCAAAGATGCGGTCCTTGTCTTTGACGCCACTGGAAACCTCCTCCTCCTTGACGCCGACACTACCGTCTGGACCTCCAACACCTCAGGCACCGGAGCCGAGTTTGCCGTCATGTCGGAGACCGGCAACTTCTTCCTCTACGGCCCCAACCAGACCGCCGTTTGGCAAAGCTTCTCTCACCCATCGGACACACTCCTCCCCGGCCAGCCCTTGACAGTTTTCTCTGGAGCTGACGTCACCAAAATCCCCCTCTCACGGCGGCTACTACTCCCTCAAAATGTTGCAGCAGAGGACCTCTTTGAGTCTCGCTCTAAGTTATAACTCGCCGGAAACTTACGACGCCTCGCCAGCATCTTACGAGAACTACTCCTACTGGTCGCCCCCGAGATCTCCAACGTCACGGGAGACGTCGTTGCCATCATGGACCAATCCGGCAGCTTCGGGATCGTTTACGGATCGGACTCGGATGGGGCGGTCTACGTATACAAGAACGATGGCGATGATTCCGGGTTGTCATCAGCAGCTAACAGCTCGATCCCGATCCGCTATTCTCCGGAGGTTGACCCTCGAGGCAAATGGGAATCTGCGGTTGTACCGGTGGGACAATGATGTAAATGGCTCGAGCCAGTGGGTGCCTGAATGGGCGGCGGTGTCGAACCCGTGTGACATTGCGGGTGTATGCGGAAACGGAGTCTGCAATTTGGACCGGAGCAAGACCAATGCTTCGTGTACGTGCTTGCCGGGTTCTTCGCGGGTCGGATCAGAGGTCCAATGCTATTTGAACTCGTCGTGACAGGAAAATGCGGGCCCCACCATGAGAACTTAACTTCCCAATTCAGAATAGAAACGGTTCAACAGACAATTACTACTTTTCGGATTCATCTGTGATAGCAAATTACAGCGATATATCGACGGTGTCGAAGTGTGGAGATGCGTGTTTATCCGATTGCGATTGTGTTGCTTCAGTTTATGGGTTGAACGAAGAAAAGCCATATTGTTGGGTCCTGAAGAGCTTGGAGTTTGGCGGGTTTCAGGATCCCGGGTCGACCCTGTTCGTGAAGGTGGAGTCGAACGGGTCTTCGGGTCCTGAAGGGAAGGAGAGCGGATCGGGGAATTCTTCTGGGAAGAGCCCTGACAAGGTTGTGGTTCTTCCAATTGTTCTGAGCATGGCTGTTCTTATAGGGCTGCTGTGTTGTTTGTTGTATATTAGCATTCATAGAAGGAATCCTTGAAGAGAGCTCTGCAAAGCTCCTTACTTGTCTCCGGTGCTCCAGTGAGTTTTAGCTTCCGCGATTTGCAGGGCAAGACAACTAACTTTGCACACTTGCTTGGAACAGGTAACGCCAGGGGAGAGAATATGCTTCTCCAATTAGTTTGCTATTTACTCTTTGACAGTTCCTTTTCCAAAATTGTTTTTGTTAGAGTTATAGCAGAAAGAATGGGATCATTTACAAAAAGTTGTTTTAAAAAATATGGACTGCTGTTTTTAGTGTTCAACTTTCGTTTATTTGGTTTCAAAACATAAAGCACAAATAGGATTGAAAAATATATTGTTTTCAGGTCACTTTCAGCAAGTGAAAAGCATTATGAGAAATTCTGAAAACGATGACATTCTAGAAAAAGGACTTTTTCTGTTTCAAAAACAAGTAAGATTTTGAGGGATATTTGTTTTTTAAACCGCAGAAAACAAACAAAAAAGAATGAAAACCAATCCAAAAATTAGAAGTTTCTCTTTTTATCTGTCGTAACTTTCTGTTTATTTTAAAGGTGGGTTTGGAAGCGTGTACAAGGGAGTCCTAGGGGATGGTACGCTGGTTGCAGTGAAGAAACTGGACAGGGCCTTGCCTCATGGAGAGAAAGAATTTATAACTGAAGTGAACACCATTGGCTCAATGCATCACATGAACTTGGTCCGTCTATGTGGTATTGTTCAGAAGGATCACACACGGTATGTAATTTCCCTGCAAGCATATCATCCCATCGTCTATTTACAACACCAGGGAACTATCCCTAACCAAAAATTTCATAAAGTCTGGGGTAACTCCATTTGATTTGTTCTTAGTTTTGGTTTTCAGTATTTTCAAAATTGAAGACAATGAGAACCTAAAACTCTGTTCTTTCCATGAAGTTCTCTTTTTCAACCGAAAAATAGTTCCTGAGAATAAAACAAAATTTTTTTGTTTTCCAGAAATTGCTCTGTTTTCTTAAAATTCTACTGTGAACAGTTTTAGGAAACAACTCACAAGGTTTTTGTTTCAAAAAATAGAAAAATATTTCTAAATACAAACCCAATGAGTTTAAATATGATAATCAATCTCAATATTGGTCTTTGATTTGTTCCAATCATTCACAGGCTTCTAGTGTATGAATTCATGAAAAACGGGTCCTTGGACAAATGGATTTTTCCCTCGCACAAATGCCAAGACAGACTGTTGGATTGGTCCACCCGGTTCCATATAGCTTTAGGTACTGCCCAAGGAATTGCCTATTTTCATGAGCAATGCAGGAACAGGATAATACACTGTGACATTAAACCAGAAAACATTCTTCTAGATGAAAACTTCTGTCCCAAGGTGTCAGACTTTGGGCTTGCTAAGCTGATGAGAAGAGAGCACTCGCGCGTTGTCACCATGATTAGAGGAACCAGAGGATATTTAGCCCCAGAGTGGGTCAGTAATCGTCCTATTACTGTAAAAGCCGATGTTTACAGCTATGGAATGCTTCTTCTAGAGATTGTTGGAGGCCGAAGAAACCTAGACATGAGTTATGATGCAGAAGATTTCTTCTATCCTGGCTGGGCTTTTAAGGTATTATTTAGCACCTTCGGTATATTAAAACTAAATCTTTTTACAGTACATGTCTCTCTCTCTAATAAATTTCTGTGCTTTTGAAAACGAAAAACAGCTGAAAATTTTGAAAAACTCTATTGCTTTCATATGATATCATATATTTTTCACTTTTTGGCGGAAATAGTTTTTGAGAGTTCTGAATAATTTTTAGATTTGTGTTTTTGTTTTCTGTTTCTATTTTCAAATTTCTGTATTTTTTAAAACAAGAAAATATTGAAACTCTATTGTTTGTTGTGTTGTTTTTATCCTCGAAAGAAAATGCATCTTGAGCACTCTGGAGACTAACTTATTGTTGCTTTCTAAAAGGGCATGCTTCTGAAAATTCTCTCGAAGACAATTTTCAAAAGTAACTTGCCAAAAGAGTTTTCTGTTTGTTGTTTTCAATGAAGGGACCAACTTTTTTGAAATCATTCCGAATCAGTTTTTGAAAACCTGGCAAACTAGTCTAGACTATATCTCTCTCTCCATTGAAAACAGAAAACAGATATAAAACCAAATCCCAACCTGAATTTCACTAAACACGTAATATTTGTTCTTTCAGTAAGTTCTAAATTACTAATAACCTTTCGTTTATGACAACAGATCCAAACTGGCCATTTCTTTGCTTGCTGTTTTCTATAAAGGGACCTACTTTTCAGAACATTCTACAAAAATCAGTTTTTGACAACAACCTGCCAAATGTTTTTTTTTTTTTTTTGGTTGAGAACAGAAAATAGTTTTAAAAACAAATCAAACTTGAATTTGGGAATTAAGTAAATTTTGTTCTTTCAATGAAAGTACTTACAACTATGAAGTACCTATAATTTAAGTGCGGTTTTTTGCAGGAGATGACAAATGGGACACCAATGAAAGTTGCAGACAGGCGGCTGGAAGGGGCGGTGGAGGAAGAAGAGATTATGAGGGCTCTGAAAGTTGCATTTTGGTGTATCCAAGACGAGGTTTCTATGAGGCCTTCAATGGGGGAAGTGGTAAAAATGTTTGGAAGGATCAGTGGACATAAATGTACCCCAATTCCTCAAACAGTTCTGGAGTTGATTGAGGAAGGCTTGGATCATGTGTACAAAGCCATGAAGAGAGAATTTAATCACTTCAGCTCCTTCACCATCAACAGCCATCCTTCCACTGCCACTTGTAGTTACTCCACCATGTCACCTAGATAACAAAGCTAAATATCAAATTTTTGTTGAAACTATTTCATCCATTTCCAAATTTTGAAAAAGGGTTTTTACAAAGCAAATTGTTTAATTTCATTAGTTGGGACCAAGATGGGTTCAAATTTATGATTTTGCTGCAGAAGCTGTAGTATTCTTTGGGATGGCATGAACACTGATAGATGGGATCAGCAACCTGTGAAAATTGATTCTTCTTGTTTCTTCCCCCATTTCTTGAGTTGAGGTGTGACTGCTAGGCAAGCCTTGACTGGTTAGATTTTTTTCCCCTGGATTACATGGATAATTAAAATCTTTATTTTTGAGAAAACTCCACGAGTGTTTTATCATTCAGCAAATGCTTAACTTTTTCTTTCTTTTACTTAGTGGGATAGGGCAAAGAGCAAGCACTGATATGTTTGGCTAGTTGCCAAGGAGGCAGTTGTCTACAGTAAAGAGAAAAATGCGAAATTAGCTGTTGATGAGATTAAACAAATAATCGAAGTCAATTTATGAACTATAAAGGACTAATTCAAGTTTGTTTTCTAAACAAGTCAATTTTTGTAAACAAAGTGCACGCTTGTTTTTTGTTTTGTTTTGTTTTTTGAATTGTGAAGACGAGTTCCCATAGACTATAAAGTTAACAAAAGCAGACAAAAACATATTTATGAGCTCACTTATTAACATTCCGTAATATTGCATGGGCTTTTTCTTATTGATAAGGGCCAGATACCTAAAAATAAAAATACAAGAAAATAAATTATATAGAAATTGTTCTGAGCATGGACCCCATTCACATTACAAGGAAAATTTCATAACGGTCAAGTCAGACTGCGCGCATATATATATATATATATATTGTTATAAAAAGAACATTTTTTTCTTTAAAATTTTTTAAACGGTCCTCTATATATATATATATATATATGTTGCTACACAAAGAACATCCTTCTCTTTTTAATTTTTTGAAAACGGTCAAAATATAAGAACCTTCATAAGCCGAAATGGATTTCAGGATGCTTGGTAACTTTCATAAGATCACACCACAAAGTAATCGGGGTGACCCTCAGTTTCTCACAAACTACTCATAGAATGGCCTTGCGGGGTCTCCATGTTTATTCTTGTTCCACATAAAAGGATAAATTTGTTTAATAATATGTTTAAATATTTCAAAATGAAGTATATTTTATAATATTTAATATTCAATAATGAATGAAATATGTTTGAATTTTAAATAAAATATAAATTCGGTAATTTCTGAATGTTTACAATTAAAATCAGTTAATTGTATTTTTATTATCACTTATTATATATTAATTAAGATTTAAAAACTTAACATTTAATCATTCTAATAATTAAAATTTATCATTCAAAATTTTCATAAAAAACGTTTAATTTTATCGAACAGGGCAGGTGGATAAAAAAAACAAAAACAAACTTTCCCTTGCTTTTTCCACACTCTTCATGACTCCCCTTTCCATTGGCTCTTCATCTTACCACGTTAAGCTATTGTCCTTTACCCTAGGCGACCGATATTGAGTATCAATCCAGCGAATGACCGAAAGGATTTGAGAGCAAGATGAATGAGATCCGAAGGTAGAGAGGCGGCGACGATGCTGGAGGCGACTCGAGGGAATTCTCGTGCTAACTGCCGATAGGTACAGTGAATCTGTACTTTTAGCTAAGCGGAAGGTACGGAAGCCAATTCCTCCTTAGCTCGAACAACCATGTACTATGAAATTGAGTTTTGGCAATAGAAGAAAGCGTGAAAATGTAGAGATTTGGTTTAAGATTAGGTTTTCATGGATGGAAGTGTTTTGGTTAGACTCAAAACTCCGGAAAAAAAAAAAAAAAGAGGAAACTATGCTTAGTTAAGCCTGAAGATGTGATATAGGTGTGGATGTTGCAACAACTACGGTTGGTGTTGGACAGGAATGATCCAGGCTTTAGCTATGCAAAATTGGGCTTTAAGATTGATATATTAAAATCGAGCTATCAAACTTGAACACCAGTTGGACTGAAAACTGAACTCAAATAAGTAGAAAAGTAAGGCTAGACGAAGTGGCAGACAGCTTATCAATTCTTGGTCCTCAAAGATAATTGTAGCTTTATACTGAACTCAGCAATAGAAAAACTACAGGATAGAGTAAGAGCCCTGATGGAGGAACATGCTACCACCTGCCTACAGAAGCCCAGCTGCACATTAGCACATGTGTCAGATGTGAGATGTGACAGATGAATTTACGTGGTTAAGTTGCAGGTTAGGAAAAAATAAAAACTTGCAAACATGAAAATTATATACACAATCCGTATTTGAAATTCTTTTCTCGCAACTTGATAATTCGCATTTCATTCTCAACAGTCGGTAAACTCTGATTCAGCCCTATAATTGGCAATATGAAATGATACATCTAATTCACTTCCTTGTTAAGA